TATAATACAATTGTTTTCTTTTTAATGCAACAAACCGAGTCGAGCAAAAGATTAATTTTTTGTATTTTTTTTTAATTCATTAAATTAGGTCTCACAATTTTACAAATGTCATATTATTGTAATCAAAACATAAAACAAAGTTCACACTCAATATTTTCTCCTACCAAAAAAATACCACCCATATTAGAGCTCATTGGAAAATTTAAATACACATACAATTTTTTACTTGCATATCTTAAACATAAATGTTCATATTTAAATCTATTACAACTGTGTTTAAATATATAATCACATATGAATTGTGTGGCCAGTGATCAAACTCGGGAAGGTTAGGTGAGAGAATTACAATGTCTTGGAGCTTTCTTGTTCTGTTCGGCGATCTTATAATTAGGGTTCTTGGTCCGTTGATTTTGTTTGGATTCTCTATATCTAACTTCAATTTATGGCTTCGGTTGCCTCATCCGTCAAGGTTGTGGTCTCAAGTAAACCCTATGGGTCAGGAGAGGTTCATTTCCCGTTGGATTTTCAAAGTCAAATTTCAGAGAATGTTTCGGGTGGTTTGCTTCAAAAACCATCCTGTAACAATGGTCAACCTGCTTTTCTTTTTTCTGAAGAAGATAAAGACGTTCTCATTGAACCCTTAAAGTATACTTTGGTTGGTAAATTTTCTTTTGCTCATCCCAAGTTGGAAGTTATCCGTAAGTTCTTTTCTGATTTACATTTGGTTGGCGGCTGAAATTTGGGGTTGATTGATAATATAAATTTTATAATTAAACAGTAATTAGAGGAGGATTATACCTCACTTTTTGCTAGAATGTTTTGACAATGGAGAAGTGTTATATGAAACTTCTTAAATGAACTCCTAAATTCAATCCTGAGGAAGAACCTCCTGTTGTGCCTATATGGATTAGATTTCCAGGTTTGAAACTTCATTATTTTAACTCGAAAGTTCTTTATTCTTTGGGTTCTATTTTAGGGAAAACTTTAAAAATCGATATTACTAGTAATCCTTCTAGGCCTTCAATGGCTCGAATTCTGGTTGAAAGGGATGTTACCTCTAGTTTTCAAGATTCTATTTGGATGGGAAATTTGAATGATAGGTACTGGCAAAAAGCTGAGATGGAATTTGTTCCGCATTATTGTTCTAATTGCAAGATGTTTCAGCATCTTCTTTCTCATTTTTATCATGCTCACCCAGAGTTAAAGAATATTAAACCTTAATATGGCAAAACTCACAGTGAGACTAATACTGTTCTCAAACCGATGGTTGATGCTTTGCACAATAAGGAGGATAGAGTGGGATCTCTACATTCTTTTTCTATTAATATTAGCAATAATACAAATTTGGTTACTGATCTTGTTATTAATATTGTTGATAATTTATTGATTATAGAGAATGTTGTTTATTTTTCTACTGACAATAATACAGATATTGTTACTGAAGTAACGCTTGATTCTGATAGGGGGGTCTCAGATAATAATACTATTACTATTTCTGATAGTGATAAATAATTGGTTTTACATCTTAGCCCTGTTATTAAAGAAAGTATTGCTCTTACTCGAATGGAGTTAGAAGAAGATTGGATGGTACAGCGTTCTTCTCGTAAGAGAAAATTTAGAGGCAACAGAGAATTAACTATGTAAATCCTAAGGCTTTTCATTCTCATTTACTGGGGAAGGAACTCGATAAGTCTAATTTGGCTATTATAACTAGACCAAACAGAGTAAAAACTGTTATTGATAAAGTTTAATACTAAAGTTTGGAATATTAGAGGCATAGCGATGTCTTGTGCTTCTAACCGGCTCAAAAATTTAATTCGTGCTTATAAATTATAATTTCTTGGTATTCTGAAACCTATGGTTGCTACTAGGAATAATATTTTTTATTTGAAGAGATTTGGTGCTTTCAATCCTCTGGCTAATCTAAACAAGAAGATATGATCTTTATGCAAGAACTCTACAAGGATTGATATTCTTATCAATCATCATCAATTACTGCATATTAGAGTTCATGTTTCTAATGAATATTTTCTTTTCACTATCATTTATTCTGGTTGCATTAAGCAAGCTCGACTTGAGCTTTGACATTGATAAAGAGAGTAAAGGGGAATATCATTTTCTAGATGGAAATCAAAAAAACTTTTGATACTAATCGTTGGGATTTCATTAAGGACGTTTTCCATGCTATTGGCTTTAATGCAGCCTTTTGTAAGCTCATTTATCCAATTCTCCGTGATAACTACTACTCTCTCCTTATAAATTGTAAGAAACATGGCTTCTTTAAAGCTTATAAAGGCGTTGAACAAGGAGATTCTCTCTCTCCTTACCTTCTCTAATTCACCACGAAATCTTGGTGATCTTCTCGATAGGAGTCCGTTTGGAAATCGTCAATCCTGCACGCACCCCTAGAGTATAGGATTCAACAGGAATCACGCAAGGTAGATTGATAGAAACCTCTGGTAAAATACTCACCAATACCCATAACCCAACAAAGAAAGTACATTACATTAGGGATTAACGACTAACCCATTCAGTGACTTTGGCATTGGACGTTCTTAAAATGGGGTCGGGTGAATTAAAGAATAGACAGACGTCAGTTGGCATTCCAGCCTATTCGAAAGAGGATCGTACCTCTTAGTCGAGAATATCTGAATAGGGCGAACCAACCTACATGGATATCTTTGCTTCGGAACAAAGCAATTAGATTCCTTTATGAATAAATACTTCATTAAGAAGGTTTGGGTTGAGATTTTAAATTTTCAGAATACTTCTGGTTTGTTTTTTAATACTTTCAAGTGCTTCTTCTATTGTTCTAAGAGAGTCTCTATTTCGAAGAAGCATTGGATTATTGATTATACCAGATGCAATAAGGTTATGTTGCCTTCGACTTATTTGTCTTTTAATTTGGATTAAGGCGAGAATCATACTGCTCCGTGTATGAAGCTGTTTGATAAAATCAAACAAAAGATTTTATCTTGGGAAAACAAGTTTCTTTCTTTTAGAGGATATATTACTTTACTCAGAAGTGTCTGTACTTCTCTCCCTCTCTAGTCTTTACAAATTATGAATATTCCTTTGGGTATGATTAAAAAGATTGAAAATCTTTTTAATAAATTTCTCTAGGGATGTAATGGCAAGTCTAAAATTCACTGGACTAGCTGGAAGAAGCTTTGTAAACTTGTTGATAAAGGTGGTCTCGGCTTTCATAGCTTATCTGATTCTATCACAATAAATTACATAAAATTGTGGTATAGATTCAAAAAGAATTGTTCTCTTTGGGCTTCCTTAATGCATGTCAGATACTGTTTTAATAAATATCCTCTGTCTATTATTTATAATAAGAAAGATTCCTTTATTTGGCATGAAATGTTAAAGGTAGCAAGGAACACTGAAGATCTTATCTATCGGGATATTGTTAGAGGTGATGTTTCTTTTTGGTATGATGATTGGATGGGGAAGGGTGCCTTAATTGATTTTTATGGTGGCCCTCTTGCTATTGATATTAAGGTGAGAGATTTATGGAATGAGAATCGTTGGTGTTACAAAAGCTTAGACAAATGATTCATAATGATGATGCTTATTTCATTAATTTGATTCCCATTAACAGTGACAATAAAGATTTGGCCAAGATTAAAGGATGAATGGAAGATTATGTTTCTAAAAGTTTTGCTAATTATTTTCATTGTTTTCAGGGGTTAGACCTTCAATGGAATTGGAATTCATGGGTCAAACCTTCCATGTCTTTCTTTATTTAGAGAGTAATGCATACTCTACTTCCAACTCATGATCTGTTTAAATTAAAAGGTTTGAGACTTCCTTCAAGCTGTGTTTTGCGCAAAGATCATGAAGAAATCAGTCTTCATATTTTTACGAGCTGTCAATTTACTATTGGAATCTGGAGACAGGTTACTATAAAATTGCATATGAAAAATTTTGTGAATCATTATAACGTCATTTCTGATATATTCAATGTATTAAAGAATTTTGATTACGCCTTTTACACTGTTGTTCTTATTGTTATTCTTTGGTTTATTTGGGTTATGAGAAATGATATTAAATATATTAATATGGTTCCTCATATTAACTGTACGGTTATTAGGATTATTAATTTTCTGCTGAAAGGACTTAAGCTTCTGACTCCTAATAAAAAGCTGATTGGTAGGTTGGCTTTTATATTGCAGAAGTTATTTATTCTTGTTTCTTTAATCAGTAAGCATGTTTCCTTGGTACATTAGTACAAGCCTATGGTTGTTGGAAGCCTAATTGTGCTATCGTTAGAGGTGTGTGTATGAATTTTTTGAGTTCTATAATCTGTTGGTTCTTAGCAAGTTTGTCCATGTTTCTCCACTGGTCGTTGAGGCAAATGCTATGGTCTTTCATCTTCAGATGGCAAAAAAATTTTGGTTAGCAATATATTGTCTTTAAAATTGACTCTTTGATTTTATGGAAGTACTACAGATTTCAAAAAGATCATCATTGGAGCGTTAATATTCAAATGAAGAGGATTGCAACTTTATCCAAGAATTTGCATATCAGTTGGCCCCATACTAAGAGAAAAGGTAATGGAATTGCTCATTAAACCGCTACGCTTGGTTTACAGCTAAATGATGCTCCACTTTCTAAAGTTGTTCATAATGTTATGTTGCATTTGATTTTAAGGATGTTTCTTAATTGATTTTGAGTCTATTGTTGTTTGTGTTGTTGCGTGTGTGAGTTGTATTTTTCTTTTTTGGGGGAAGAGGACTTTTAAGTTTTTTTTCTTTAGTGTGTTGTATGTGGGGTGTAGCCTATTTTTGTAATTCTTTTTTTGTGATTAATACATAAGGAGACCAATAATACTCTTTTACCCAAAAAAATATGAATTGAGTGGCATGCCTGTAAATGCCCCTTAATATTTTGGATTCAATATCACCTAAACATTAAAAAAAGTGAACCAAATCTCATAAAATTAAACCAAAACACGAGCACTGGATCTCATAAAACAAAATAAATCTTAAAAATAGCAGAACTTTCCCTTCATCTATTGCAGGCTCATGCAAATGTTTCTGCATTTAAATCACACCATCCTCCGAAAGAAAAATCAAAATATCCAGATCAGATGTTTTATTTTCCCTTTTGGAGATTAAAACAAGCTTAAGCAGGGCTACAGAAAGGCCCTTCAAGCAAAAGGATTTCAAATCATTAAAAAAAGAAAAAAAGAAAAAACCAAAGGTTTTATCGTCCGGGCAATGCACGGTTGTTCGTATGAAAACCATAACACCAAGAAACACATGCAACATAGCCAAATGTTGCTTCAAAATTACATCAGAAAGACTAACAATTAAATTAAAAAAAAAAAATTTCAAGCTCGTACAGTTTAAGGTTGGACACTTACTGCATTTGAATAAGCTTATCCGCTCACAAATCCTTCCATAAGTACCCATTCATTGTGGTTCAGAATCCTCATCTACAAACATTTCCTCGACAAACAGGGCAAACTCTGCAAAAAATTTTAAAAAATATTATGTGTCTATACATATATATATATAGAATAAATCAGAAAAAGATAAAGCATTTACAGGTTGCGCGAACTACATATGTAAGAATGTTTAAAAACTGGGAAAAAGGAAACGGAACAAATTAGCAGTTCGCACGTATGTTATGCATTCATACAAATGATTTATAGTCATGAAAATACATGTTCTATAATTTTTAAAAGTAGGATATTGCACTTCACTATTGTATAGCCAACATTTCATGGAATATCTCAGCATTTGAAGATACCGTTCACAAATAATGTATCATATACACAAGTAATTTTAAATAATTCCCATTATCATCAATTGTATTTAGTCAATACAGTTAGTCACTGCCTGGCAAATATTGCCGACAACAGATTTTAAACTTCATAGATAAAAAAAAATTTATCAATTTTCATGGTTATATGAAACAGCTTTTATTCATCTAAAACTAATATAGGACAGATAAATAAAGTTGAGCGGCAACGTATACTTTATCTATCTATCCGTCTAGCCATCTATCTATATAAATAAATAGTAAGATAAATACAAGTTACCGCAAAACTTGATTTATCTGTCATATATGTAGAGCTAACAAAAAAACTCGTTTGCGAATAACTCATGTTCATCTCTTTAAGCAAATCGTGTTCAAGTCGTGCGTAAGTAAACAAGTTGAATACGAATAAATTTTTTAAACTCAAATTATAAACGAATTGAGCACGAACAACCCTTTGTTCGATCATAATTGACTCATTTTAGTTTGAAATAAAATGATTATACATATTATCTATATATTATGTCTAAGTTTAAATCACCATAGCTTGTGTGGATCTGTGGTACTATGTTCTTTATTGCATAAGAATGATTTCGGTTCAAATCCAACACCCTACATCTGTATTTCTAATTAATTTAATCAAGCCAATTCAAGCTAAAAAACGAATACGAACATTTTTTCGAACAAAACAAAAAACTGTTCATGAGCCATTTCAAACAAAAACTAATTTCAAATAAAAAAAAAATGTAAATCAGCCGAACACAAACACATGTTCAGCTTGCTCAAACTTAGCTTGTTTACACACCTACATACAAGTTTTTCAACTAATCGGTATGGTCCAACACAAATTCCATATTTAAGAGTACTAAAAATGAATCCACAACTACCAAATATTATTTAAAAGAACCAAACATTCTCCAAATTCTTAACAATAAAAACATTCCCATCATCTCAAATATTCCAGCACTACAGAAATGATAAAAAATTTATGCATGTTTGGGACTTAAGGGAATTGACCAGCCCGCCCTGCCCACTTCTTTCTTATTTAGGCTGCACTTGACTAGGGACTTGGAATCAACCAAGACAGGAAAAGACAGTCAAACAATATTAATCAAATTGTCTATTAATAATAATATTATTATTATTATTATTTTAAATGTTATTACAACGTCCCCTCCTTATAAAATTCCTCCTTGATATTTCCAAATCTATTCCATGCCTCAAATCTCTTTTCATTAAAACTCTAGATCTCATTCCTTAAGATCAAATGACATAAATCATGATGCAATTCACACTAATTTCACGAGATTCATCCATATAGAACTTTATTTTCCAAAGATCCATCGAACTCCATAGGCCTCTGATTTGCAAGCCATTTACAATAATAGATTGCACTTAAAGAGAAACATGGGCGCAAAAAAGCAAATTTATCATCAACATTTTCTAATGACCACAAATTTGATCCATGAATATTCCCAGGATCATATTGGATGACCAAACAGTTAAAATTTTGATTTAAAACTCATGGCATTGAGAACTTCAAATGATATATTTTCTTCATAGATTGGAGCCATTCCTGGCAGTTAATGACCACCCTTAACTAGCAGCTTCAGCTAGCCGATAGGTGGGATTGTTTGGTGTACTTTCCAGTCAGGGAGGTCATGAAATGGATCATCTAATGCATGAAAGATTTCGTAGGCTGGCAAAAAAGAAGAAATTTGCCTACCAAAATCTGTAAATAGACTCTAATTCACACACTTTGGACAACTAAAATTAATTTGAAACCAAAAAGTCTCGGCATCTTAGAGAGTTTCACAACACTGATCAACGAATTTGTTGTTGGTTTTAGCGGGGATGTGATTATGGGATAGCAAGGAAAGGAAAAAATTGGAGGTTTGAAAGGGTTAGGAGGTGAAATTTACTATTGGACAGCAGATTCAGCGTCAATGGGTGGGTGTTGTGTAAAAATAGGCAGATGATGAATCAACGCGATACGAAGGTCGAGGAGGTTACACCACCTATCCTTGCACAAGATAAAAAAAAAACCACTTGCAAAAAAAAAAAAAAAACAATACTCAAGAAAATATAAAACACTTTAAACGCAATGACAATAGCCAAAAGTTTCCAAAAGAAAAAACATGCACACAAATAAATAGTCTTCTAATAGAAATAATCTATCTAGAAATAGAAAAATAAGAAAAAATCGAGGAAGAAACAAAAGTTCAAATCAGAAGGATTTCGGCTACCTATCAATCATGCGGTCGCAAGAAGTGTCTGTTCCATGAAATGGAATCCCACAATCGCAAATCGAGAAAGTTTCGTTCTACAGTTCCCACTAAGCTCCCGCATCATTCTACCCAACTAGGATAGGCTTCTTCTTCTTATTCTATGGAAGGACCTGAATTCCATTGTAGGATGTTCATTCCTACATAATACCTATGGAGATTTCCAAAGCTGGAATTCACCACTCCTGTCTGGTCATTTGCTTTTGAGTGCACTGTTGAGCTAAATTGAAACTGACGTCTTAGTTTATTTTATAAATTTTTCAAAAAATATCTTAAAAAAGTTATCATCTCCATCTGAATTGAGGACACACTGAACCTCCCTAAGCAATAACAACTTAAGAGGTAGACTGTGCTTCCAAAATCCTTAAAATCCGCTTAGTAAGGACTGCCATTTATCTAAGTATTCGCTCCTCAAACTTATTTCTCTTTTTGGAGAATAAATGCTAGTTATGTCGATGTTCTTCTCATGGCCTATAAAAAGATAGTTCGTGTCACCACATCCTCATATATCCTGAACTCCTTCCAAGGCAAGCGCACAATGTGCTTCTCGTCTCTGATGAAATAATACATACTCTTATGGTTATCATGTTATGTGCAATGATCATACCATCAAAGACAACATAATGGGATGTGACAAGCATCCATAAGTACTACAACAGACCACAAATGCCGCTAGAACTTATCTCTAATAAAAATATTCCACGAGGCATCTCCTGTCAAAGCTTATCTCACTCTCATTCTTCAACCGAATCAGGGAATACGGTTGAGAATACTTATTAGTGCAGCTCAATTGTCCAATATTTGTATAAAACCACATTTTCACAATTATCTTCATAATAATTAAACTGTACATTTCTTTCCTTGCGGTATAATGAGTAAGAATATGTTGTGGCAGAGCCACTATTGCTCTCTCATAAGCTTAATCTGAAATACTCTTTGAATCATAATCATCTCTCCCTCATCTATGGATGGTTAGTACACGTCTCCATTCTCCTTCTTTGGGCCTTCACCCTCTATCTCCTCTACTGCACTCTTCTCAGTAAAAGATATCAGCATTCTGTTTTGGTAATCAAAAGCACTATATGCCCAAAACAAAAATGCTTGAAGTATTCTCGGCTCAGATGGAGTTAGAAATACTGGTGTCCTCCTTTTCTCCAATTGATATGAGTCTCTCCTCTGGCAAGGTTAGCTTGGGTGCTCTGCTAGATTGTCATCACATACTGACAATGTTTATTCCATTAAGTGACTGTGTTAAACTATTTGTTCTTTTAGTAAATAGTTAGAAATTTTGGATCGCAAGGAGTCTTTTACTTTCTAACTGGTTAGATTAGAAATAAATTATGATGAAAAAATTAACACATCATAAATCAAATAAAAGCATACAAAAAAATTCTAGAGAAAACTAATGGCGAAAAGATTTAATTCATTCACAAACATAATCATAGGGGCATTTAAAAGAACTTAGCTACTATGCATGGTAGAAGATAACAAGAAGGGTCCGTTGAATTAAAAAAAAACCCAACAATGTAAACAAACACAAAAACTTAAAGTGGAGTTCAACTCTCCTCAAAGTACACTGCAATCCTCTCCTTACAGTGAACGTTATCTATCAATCTCCCACGTACAAGTACTCGAGTCACTCCCCCTTCAACTTTCCAAAACTCTCGAAAGAAAAACCCTGGAAGCTTTCTCCCAAAAAAACTTGAGGAATGCCTGGTGGCAAAACAGAAGGCTCCTATAAGACAAGTAGAAGCAGCATTCAATCATCCAAGAGACCTCCACATCCAAGGCCTCACCTTATATAGCTAGGGATCCAAAATCTGAATTCAAACCTTCCAAACTCGGGTTCTCGCAAGTCTTGAGCGCGGCTGCGCCGCAAACAAGCGAGGTTGCACCAAAATTTCTGAAAAGTCAGTGTGGGTGTGACACTCTCTATCGGGGGTGTGCTGGTCTGATTCTCTTTCAAGGCGGTTCAATCGCAAAGGGTGCGCCACTAACGCAAGGGTGCTACCCTGGCTAGTATGGTTAATTTGAATCCTTTAACTGCCCGAAGCTCGCTCCACACCTATATCTTACAAAATACAATAAGAACACCTTCTACAAGTATAAAACCTTCATAAACATGAGATAAAATATATACTTAATAAAAATATGATATTTTTACTTCATATCAATTCACTCGAATTTACATATTATTTATACTAAAGTAATCTCATAAATCAACTTAGACTCATGTAACTGATTGTGCAACTCTCATCTGGGAAATTCCTCATTATATAATAAAGTTGTATAATTTTTAAAAAAAGTAAGCAAATACCATATTGGATTTAGATTTTTGTTAATCTCTAATAACCCAGGCTTTCTAAAATTCTCTTCTTTCTCAGCATAAACAAATATCAAAGCACCTAATCCAACATAACCA